CAGCACCGGGCCCTGCCCTGGGTAGTGGCTGCTCTGTGCTCGGGGGAGCCCGGCTCGGTGCGGTCCCGAGAGGCGGCTCTGCGAGGCCGGGACAGCTCATTGCAGCTCCCCTGCAACCTCCGGAGACTGCGCCGCTCTCCCCGGTGTGCCGGTGGCTTCGGGAGCACAGCATCTCCTCTTCATCTCTTCCGCCTTCCTTGCACCAGTCACGCTAAATTTCACTTTGTATCTACTAATAAGTTTCAAATCCTTAATATAACACATACTGCAGAATACACAGCAGAACAGTTTTTAAATGACACTTGTCTTTGTGGCCTGCCGAATTCCAGACTAAGCCTATCCCAACAGGACACTACTGGAACAGCCGTGTCCCTGCCCAGCCTGCCCATGGGGCTGGATATTTACCTGCTTGAAGGTGACCCTGCCTCGAGTTACCCTATCTTAAACCCTCCAGGTTTAAGATTCAACATTCACATTTGCTCAGCCTTTGACAGAAAGCCACGAGAACGGCTGTGTCCCTGCCAGCCCTTCCAACCAGCCCTGCAGGCAGATGGATGGCCTGACTCCTTGCCTGTGGGCATTTCAGTGCTCTGACACTAACACCTCACTCGGGCCATGTGCTCTGATGGGCAATTTCTTGTCTTTCTTGGTGCCAAGTGTAAGTTCACTGTCTGGATAAGGCTGGGGTGCTGCTTAAAATAGACTTTATGTGCCTTGTTGGATTTGTGCAATGTTCCATAAGCTGCTTTGGAAAAAGACATTTGTGTCTACATTTGAACTTTTCAGTCTGAGCGTTTTTAAAGCTCATTCACATCCTGAGATAAGATTAAGTCATCAAGGTCAATAAAACCTCTTTCCTTCCATGTATTTCCGTGCTTTTGCCTGAAGGGATCTCTGATTCATACCTGACTGAGTAAAGGATGTGAAGCAACTCAGCTGCTTTGGGAAGGGGGAGAAATCCCCAATTGCTACAGGCTGGCCTTTCAGCCTGCATCGCTGCTCTAGGCTGTCACATGAGGCACTGCAGAGGGAAGAGGTGTGCTGATAGAATTTCACTGCACTGGAAAATACCCTGGAATGTCTCAAAACTCCAATACAAGAGGGAAGATGTGATGGAAATAGATAATGGGTGTTGGAGAGATTCTGGTCTGTTTGGCATGCCTGTCCCAGTTCAGCTACAGTGTGAAGGTATATGACTAAATGAATTATCTCTTAAGTGTCTAAAATAAAAGAAAAGGCTGCCCAAGTTATGAGGGCTGTGGCCTTCTCTCAAAGTACACTTTTCCTCTTGGGATGAGTGAGAAGCCTTGCAGCAGCCAAGGCAATGCCGATGAAAACCAGGGCTCTCACTTTTGCAAACTCATTGGCAGTTGTACCAACCCACACAAGTCTGTTCTGGCTTTCCTTGTGCCACTATGAAGAGGTCTGATGAAGCAGGTGATCCAGCTGTGACAGATATTTTTTCACAATGTCTGTGAACTTCTTCTGTGTTCCCAACAGGGAGGTCTGATGTAATCATTACGACGTGGCCTAGCAGCATGAAATCTCATGCACTGCCAGACAGAGGTGTATTGTACAGAAACCCCCTTTTGTTCTGTTATGATGGTCTTGGGGAAGCACTTCATTGCCACAGAGAAGGGTGGCTGATGTAAACCCAACTGTCACTGTTGGGCAACACAGCAGGCGAGCTGGGAGCCAGAGCCCCGCGGTCACATACTTCCCTTTGACAGTGACTCTGCAAGCAGGGCAGTGGTGTCGAAATGCCCTCTGTGTTCTAAAAGGGGGGTGAGTGATAATTGCACATCTGCCTCCTCCCAGCAGCTCAAAGTGAAGGGTCTGAGAGTGGTCAATGCTCAAGACACATCTCTGTTACACTGCAGCAGTTGCCTGTGGAGCGCAGGACTGATAAACACATCAACTTGGTGTTTAGGTGTTCCTGGTATGTTGGTCCCATGCTGTTCCTTCAGTCATTTCTGAGGCTTAACTGAAGAGCAGAACATCTGCCCAGGATCAGACTAGGGGCAGGCTGACCCAGCACCCTATCACTTGGATCTCACTGGCAGCAGATGCTAAAGGAAGAATGGCAGAACTGGGTAACTAATATCTCTCTAGCTGCAGTCCTGGTTTCCAGTTATCTGTGACTTAGGAGTCTTTAGAAGTGGTATCTCCAAACATGGAAGGCCTGATGTGGTTTTCTTTCCTGACTGCCAATTGCTTTTGCCAGCACTGGCTGCTTGAGCAATGTGAGGGCAGTCTGAGAGCACCACTGCAAAGCTGCTCTTCCTGCTGTATTCTCATGTGGGAGAGAGCCTGGCATGGCACAGAGACTGCAGTCACAGAGCAGGAGTGTGCAGGCTCACCACAGACCTTGGCCTGCTATGCATTGTAACCATCACCAGTGCTTTGTACCCAGGATATTCATTTGGTAGGATCTCCAGAAAGTGGCAGCAGAGAAACTTGCCTAATGTGTGGTTTCTGAAAGTAATATGCAGAGAAAAAAAAAAAAAAAAAGTTACTGCATGTTCAGTAAAACACAGTAATGAGTGTCAGAAACACAGTTGCTCTCTGCCTTCATTGTCTGTGAAAAGGAATTGGCACAATCCCTTGACAACTTAAATGCTTGTTAATTTTTTTAGGAAAAAAAAAATAAAAAATATATATCAGAATCCATAGTTGTATTTTTTGAATTCCAGGATTGGATTATGTTCTCAGAAGTAATGGTACTGATACCAGCAGTGAATAAAGCAGCTCCATAGCTCATGATTCCTTTAAGAGATAAAATATATACATCTTTCACACCTAGAGTAAGACTTAACTGTTTGTCTAGCCATGTAATAAGATTACGTCAAGAAAAAAAGATAGTCCTTTGAGGGAGCATATATGGGAAAACATAGCTTTATTTTTCAATGATGGGCTGGAATTAAGGAGATAGGCGGCTGCAATACAAACTTTATTTTGAAGCAAAATCTTTAGACAAGGTTACTTAGCACCAATGAACAGAGAACTGGTCTCAACTGAACAGGTATGTCAGACCTGGGGAAAAAAACTCATATAAAAATCCAAATGTACTCATTAAAATTAAATAAGAATAAATTTGAGCTACCTGAACTTGCCTGACCCCTGGCTGATGCTATTTTGCTGCTATTTTGCTACTTCTTTAGGATTAAGGATTTTTGATGCTATTTTACTACTTCTTTAGTATTAAGTCAACACTACTGCTGTTCCCTGAATACTATTCTTAACAGTGTATGAAGTACAGGATGTCTTCTGGGTCATTCAGCAGCTGTGACAGTTAGTGGGGTTTTCTTATCTCTCACTGTCCATCTGAAAAACAGCTTTGAACCTCCTGGTTGGTGTCTGCCTTTTTTTTTTCCTCTCTCTTTCTGTCTCATTTTTCCCTCCCTTAACCAGAGGTCTAAAATAAATGCGCCAACCACATAATCAGCCATGAACAGAAATATCCTCTGCTGGAGCCCAGCCTCTGACTCTTGTTGCTGTGCATCTGCCAGAAAAGAGGACAGGAAGGGAGGATGGCACTAACAGCAAAACTTGGAGGTCCACGTGGTGTGTTGATTTGTTTTTCTTTTTCTGAACAAGGTGTTGATACAACTCAAAGCTGAGGTTGGCCAGTGAGACAGGGTTCAGCCGAGTGAGTTTTGCTGACAAGAAGTGGCAGTTGAGAAATTTTGTGCCTAGAGGCAGGCTGGTGGTGAGGATGAAATGTCTCTAACCTTGATGGCTGAAGAGATCCCTGCCCAGATGCAGGGATTAAAGATCTCCCCAGTGAGTTCCTCCATGATGCACAGCTTGGTTTTCAAGGAGTAACTGTGATATCTTCCTGCAGCGTTGCAGGTTGTTTTAGTGGCTAGAGCTATGCTGTCATAATCAGCCATCTTCTGGAGGGAACTGTGAAAACACTCACCCCATCTTGTTCCCTGGAGAATCCAGCACCACGAGTGCTTTCAGAGGCACAGGGAAGTGCTGCTCCTGGTCTCCCCTTTCCTCCTCTCCTCTCCTCTCTCACACGGTCGCTGTGGTCGCTCACATAAACACCTTTATTTTCACTCTTTTCCCCCGTGGGCATGCTGGGCTCTCACTGGGTCTCACAGCTTCTCCCAAGCAGCACCTGTAATGCTGAGAAGTGTCACAGCTCACCCACACCTGGACAAACTGACAAAAAAGAAGGGCGGTGTTAGAGCTGACTGCTGGCTTTGTTAGAGCGTGGGTCATTAACACCTCGCTGCAGGGCAAGGCAGTGCCTGCTGTTCTCACAGATAGCTCAGGAGAAAGTCTGGTAGTAACTGTCTCTCTGAGATTTAGTCTGAAAGCTCTGCAAGAACTAAGGATGAAGAAAAACAATTTGAACAGCTAGCCAATGCAGGAGTAAATAATAGTATTCTTCACCTGGGAGAAGAAACTCCAGAAGAATGGTTTGGTATTTTTGAATTTGATGTATGAATAATTTGTCTTTCCATTCTTTCATATGGTGGTTTCAAAACTGATGGACTTAATTCTAGATGCTGCAGGATGTCAGAACTGGATTGACTGAGTAAACTGAAATGGAAGACAGTCATTGATGACTGGAGTTGGGTCTGACTTGGTAACACACAGCTTTAATTCCTTCAAAAGGAGTATATTGACTTTGAAGATATTTGTGTGAGAAGCTGTCCCAGTGTAAAATCTTCTGGTGTGCTGCAAAGGCGTGCTGACCAAGGGCCAGATTCTGCAATCACCTGGCCTTGGCTAAGTCAGTTTGGATCACAGAAACATAGGAAGTTAAGGGCTGGAAGGAACCTCAAAGATCATCTAGTCCCAATTCCCCCTGCCATGAGCAGGACACCTTCCACAGGACCAGCTTGCTCGAGGCCTTTTCCAGCCTGGCCTTGAACTCTGACAGTGTTGGGGCTTTCACAACTTCCCTGGGAAATTTGTTCCAGTATCTCACCACCTTTACAGTAAATAATTGCTTCCTAACAGCCAGTCTAAATTTCTTCTCTTTCAGTTTGCACCCATTACTCCTTGTCGTGTCACTACAGTTCCTGATGAAGAGTCCCTCTCCAGCTTCCAGTATCTGTAGGCCCTTCAAATACTGAAGTTGCTATAAGGTCTCCATACACCCTTCTCTTCTCCGGGCTGAACAGCCTCAACTCTTTTCCATATCTTTGTTAGGAAGGTGTTTCCATCCTCTTATTCTATCCTTTGTGGATCTGCTCTGGACTTGCTCCAAGAGTTCTGTGTCCTTTTTGTTTCATGTCAGCGTGAATTGATCTGCACAGAGCAGCATCAATATTAAATGAGTCCCATTTTTTCCATGTCCAGTACAAACCTGCTAATCCTTCATGTCCTACTTTATGGCAGGTAAAAAGTACAAGAATTTGAGACTGCAGTGTGAGAGAATTTGCTGCATGCTAATCAAATGGATGCACTTTTTTAAAGTGATTTTCCAAGAAAATTTGGGGAGCAGTGTGCAGAAGCCTCTGAAGCATTATTTGATGACCGTCTGTGATGGCCACAGCTTCTCTACCTCCTTTCTTCCTCTTCCCAGAGCAAGCTACAGAGCTGTGTGCACTGCAGGGGCACTGCAAACACTCCCTTCATTGGGAAATGCTGAGTGTGATTTCAAGGCTGTTGCACAGAGTAGGGCAGTGTGGTGACATCTGCAAAGTATAGGGGAAATCAGCTTCTCTGAAAGCCTTTCAGCTTGGACATTACTGTGTGCCCACAGGACTGGGCTGGGGTGTAGGCAAAGCAGAGTGTCCTAGCTGGAGGAGGATGCTTCATCTCCCACTGCCCCAGCTGATGAGTCTCAGGTTTCTGGTGGCATGTTGGCTAGAAAGCCTTCATGGACTGAAGCTCATGCTGCTTGCATAAAAAAAACTACATAGACTACATGAACAGACCTACTTCTTTCCCCCAGTTAAAACCAAAGTAAAAACAGAACGAAACCACTCAGACCTGTCCATTCCTCTTTTACTGTATATTTTAAAACACAGGCAAATGAAAGAGGAACTGGACAGTAACTGTATTCCTCATTATCTAGCTCTTCCTTGGGCACAGGGAATGGGTTTGACTGTTTGCAGGATGGCTGTTCTTGTTATGTGTGCACATAGCCTCAGGAGTACCTTGTAGGTGCTCCCAGAGGGCTCAGTTACTTGGAGGCATAAGTAAGTGCTGTCCAGATTAAGGGTTTGGTCAGAGCTGCAGAAACATAAAGTCTGTGGTTACAGTCCTGGCATGCTGATAACGTAACTGAAAGCTGCTGGACTAGGGCAGGCCCCAGCCACCAGCACCGGAGGGTGTCTGTGGGGTTTGGTTGAAGAGCCAGACAGCAGTGAGAAGGCAAAACTGGAAAGGAAGGGCTGCAGCTGAATTCTAGGAGTGGGAAAACCAATTCTACAAGAGGGATGTCCCGCAAGTGTCCATCACACTGTCAGAGCTCGATGATGGCAAACATGCTTGGGATGGTGCAGACAGAGCAAGAATTTTTTAATGAATCCTGGTTTTACAAAATATACTGTGTATCACACTGGCCTAGAAAGATGAGGAATCTCTAAAATTCCTGGGTTTGTTTGAATTAATTTTGCTATTGCCTGGCCAGCTATGCTGCTGGCCTGGGCAAATGCAGCTTGCTAGTTTCTGTTCCCACAGCTGTGCTGGCCAGTTGGGGTTCTGGCCGGGCTGGACAGAAACAGCACTGGTGCTGGGTGCCACCTGAGAGTGCCTCATACTGAGGGCGGTACAGGGAGGGGACAGGAGAGGAGAAACTGTGGGACTTGCTTTGGTTACAGCTCTGAACTAAGCACTGGTGTTTACTTTTTTGTACAGGCATTGTGGATGCTCCGGAGACAGCGACGGGGACCTCAGTGGACACCAGAATGTGTGGAGGGACCAGCAGGGGCACAGAGGGAGGGCCAGCTCCTTGTTCGAGTGCTGCAACTGGGAAAGCAAAACCTGTCTGCTCGTGTGAGTGTGAGGGAACAGAAGAACTGAGGCATGGCTGTGAATTCAAAAGTGAGGTGAACTTGCGGGACAGCTTTTGGAACAAAACCTCCTGCAGTGGCTGAAGTGTCAGCCCACTCATGAGAACAGAACTCTGTTTCTCTGTGCCTCACTCGGACTCCTCTCCGGGTAAGAGATCCAGCCCTCTGTGCACAGCCCGGGCATGAGCCTGTCTCCTGAACCCAGAGCCCTTCTGGCTGTTCTTTGTGCCTTCACAGCCGTCTCCATGGCCCCTCAGCAGCCAGGGCAGCGGAGCCTGAGCACTGCGAGATCGATGGCCTGCGGTGGCCGGACTTGGGACGGTGGCTGTGGCTGCTCCTGGTGCCCTTCCCGGTGCTGCCGGCGGCTGACCCGGCCGCAGGCTCTGTGTGCCCGGCCCTCTGAGGCGTCCTGGCTGCTCTGGCCAAAGGCCGAGGCGCTCGCCCTCAGCCCGCTCGTGAGCCGCGTGCCCCGCGGCAGGATGGGGAGAGCTGCTTTCACAACCTGGATGTGTTGTCACTCACATCCAGACATTTCCTGTTATCTAACCTCAGCCTTATCTTCCCCATTCGCAGCTTCCTCTTGAAGGAGGAGCAGCCCCTTCAAAACCGAGCTGTGTGGCCGGGCTGTGCCCCCACGGCGCTCCTGCACGGCCCCCGCTGCGGCCCCGCGCTGCCGGCCCTGCCTGCCCCGGGTCAGGATGGCCCAGCTATGGTAGGTGCCAGGTCCCCCTCCTGCCTACGGAAGGGGTGGCTGGGGACGGGGGAGAATGTGTCCTTTGGGGTTCATCTCCTGTCTCTCCCTCAGGAGGTCCCAAAGGCCCGTGGGTGTTGGGACACTGAGAGGTGCGAGGTGTCCATGTTCCTGGCAGTGAAGAAAGTTGTTCTCCTACCTCACGTTACACCTCGAGTTTTGGGGGGATCTTAATCCTGTTTGGGATTGGGCTCCCTCCGTTCGGTGCTGGGACTGTGTCTGCGTAAGCCAGAGGGGCTTTTTGGTGCCTCCTTTCAGGGATGAGGTAGCATTTGGCTGTGTGTGCTTGGGGAGGGCAGGCTCAGGGATGGAAGGCTACGGGTCCCAGCCAGTGAACACTGTGCTTTGGACCACAGCTCCTTGATGAATTACGATTAGCAGTGATATGGAGCCCTGCACAGCAGCAGGATATATGTGTGCGTGCTCCCTCAGCTCACAGACACACACATGCTGCCTGTGAGCTGCTGGCACTGGGAGATTTTGATCTAAATTAGCCATAGATGAGGCAGCTGACAATGAACAGGGGAGGGTGTGGGATGGAGGAGGGTGTAACCAGGGAGAAACCCTGTCCCAGTTGTGTGCAAGTGTGCTCTTCAGCTCCATTTCTCACTGTCGCGATGGTTATAGTAGAGAAGATGAAAGTTTACCACACCTTCTTCCCCTCTTTGGATGTCTGGGGCATGAGCAGCCATGGGGACAGAGTCCAGTGTGCAGAGATGGGAGCTGCGGGGCTTAGGGGAGTGCAGGGGCTGTGGGAGTATGTGAGGATGTTGACCTGAATGTAATGGGGGGATTATCAGGCCCATCCTGGGGACTTTGAAGTGAGCCATTGTTTGTCTGGCAAAGCTCCTTGCAGTGTCCACTGCAGAGCTGGGGGCACAGGAAGGTCATATATGGAGCATGACAGCTTCCAGTGGAAGCCTGCCATGAGCAAAGCCTTGTTTGTCTCTGTTATGACAAAGGCTTCCAGCTTCTAGAAGAAGCACAACCCAAAGTTTCAGGTGGCCAGGGTTTCAGCAGACCCTGTTGTCATACATTTGTGGGGACTCTTGCTTTCAATTCAGGTTGTGATTTGTGTTTCACCAAGTGGAAAACAGAGATGACCTTGATTCCAGTTCAAATCCTGCATAATAAATGCATGTCTTGAAATGGCTGCAGCCTGCATCCTAGGGCTCTGCTACTTACCATGTGAAAACCACACAGCCACACTTCCCTGCATGCTGTTGTGTTATTATAGGTTTAGAGTTGAATGTATCCAATAATCTTATTTTTCATTTATTTTCATTACAATTTGCAGAACAGTCTCACAGCCCTGTAAAAATACCTGAGCAATACCTGACGATGTGCACCGTGGAGGGGACTTTTCCTGAATTTGGTAAGGGACTGACTCCAGAATGTAGGAAGATAAATTCTTTCTGTTTTGCCTTCAGAGTATGCAGTAGATTGCTCAGTTTTATAACACTAAGTTTTTACTTGGAAATACCCACTTTAGCTTGAAACCAGAAGTTCTGACAATGACAAATCCATTCACATCAGATACGATCTCTACGGGTAGAGTTGCAAGTTCCATTCCCATCTGCTGACAGAATTATCTCCATTGTGTCCCCACCCCTTATCTGTCCCTCACAGCAAAAGTGGCTGTTTTTCCCCTCAGAAAGCCACAATGGGGGATTATTTTAAGCTTCAATTGCAGAAGCAGTGCTGCCTTGTTTTCTTCTTCCCTCTCCAAGGCCAGATCTGCCCCTGCTAGACATCAGCACTGAAACTGAAGGCAGTCTGGTCACTGATACTGTGGAAGAGCCTGCATAGTCTTTCTCTAGTGGCTTCCCCACATTTTGGTATGGCTTAGAGTCCTTTGGGGGATCACAGGTTCACATGTACTCTGGTAGACTGACATTAAATCAGCTTATTAACACTTTTCTCATCTTCATGAAATGCACATGCTGCTGTTATCCATTGCCACATAGCTTTATCTGCCATGGCTGAACTGCATTTGGAATGAGGAGCCAGAACTGGTCACTATCTACATTGCACCCAAGGCAAAGGTGGAGACAGGGGAATGCCAGAATTGCAAAGCCTGAGCAGTGACTCAGTCTAGAAACAGATTTTACCTTTAAAGCTGTAGCTGTTCCATTGCTCTTAAGTCTTGCTCCACTCTCTTCTGGTTTCGGAAAATATGTATTTGCTATGCTTTCACCTGAAAAAAGCTTTTCCTTTCCAGGTATGTTTCTGTATGTGATATTAGATGGAATCCTATGATCATCTGTGTAAAATAGAGTCACAGAAGTTAGAGGTAGAAATGGTTGATGAATTGCCCACTGTATGATACTGCTAATAAACTTAATCTAATTCTACTTTAGTGTCTTTAATGGTCTACCTTAAAAATATAATTAAAAACATTTCAGTTTTTATTTTGATACTAAAAATAGCATGGTGATGCTGGTCATGTGAAATTAAAATCCGTGGACTGGTGAGGAAGCTAAAACACCACGCTAAAAACTCAGCTATATCTGAATATGTCCACAAAGAGTATGAATGACTAAAACAGTGTTGTTCAGAATGGGTGTATGATTTAGGAGCCAGTATGGATTTTTCTGGGAAAGTTGTACAGTATCAGAATTTCAAATCTGTTTTTAGGCTGAATTTCTAAACAGTAAGCATCTGAGCAGGACACAGAACAGAGTAATACTGTGAAATATCTTCTCTTGTGTATGTTTTGTTATTTAGTTTTCTTCAGGTGCATTTCTGCATTTCCTGCACACTTCTGTTAAAAGAACAAGGGAATAAGAGTATCATTTGTATTTGTGCAAGAAGCGTATATGTGTGTGTGAATATGCTGTTCACCCTTAAAGGCTGGATTATGCCAGCATTTGGAGGTGGAAAGCTTCACTTATTGCAGGAGAGGCTTTTTCTGTTTGCTAGAAGTGAAGCAGAAGGGGGTTAGTTAGTCAACGGAAGAGAAAGTTTCACTTCGCTTCTGAAGAATTTCATTGTTTCCCTGTGTGGAGCTTGGTTTTCTTTCAGCATCACAATCTTTACAGTATTCTGCCAAATGGAGGAGCCTCCAACAGAGGCACTGATGAACCCCTATGTGCATGCCCAGGGGCAGAGTTGTACTTATTTTTCTGACTTTTGAATTAATATAGCGGATTCTTTTCCTTAGCAGAAAAGCAGTGTTTGCTGGTGTGGTTCTCTCTCACCCAAAACAGAGTGCAGGAGGGGGGAATATGGGAGGACTAATGATGCTTTTTGCTAACTGAAAAAAGCCTCTGAAGTTAACAACAGTTGCTGTGCTTCTTTTCTCTCTGTGTGCCTAGGTTGGCATCCAGCGAGGACACTGTGACCCTGGGAGCTGCAGTGTGGCACTGCGTGTATTTGACAAGCTGAGTCCGACACTCAGTGTGCAGAGTGTCAGTTTGTCAAATACCCCAAGTGAGGCACTGCTGAGCAACGTAACGCCGAGGGTCCAGCCCTTTCCTCCTGCTCTGGCAGGAGTCTTCCTCTCCAGGCTCGGCACCTCTCCAAAAACCCACCGAGGTACTCAGTAGCCCGTCCCGTTGTTCCAGAACTGACTGATCCTGTGCTGCCAAGTTTCCCTTCTTCCCTGGTTTTGGAAGTGTCTGTCGGGGTATCCCTCCCAACAGTAAATCAGAGCAGAAGTGGTGCTGGTGCAATTTCTCTGCACTGTGAAGACAGGGAATTGTGCCCTGGGTCCTTGTTCTCTGCATCCAAATACAATGCTATTCTCTTACAAGCATTAACTAGCCAGCTTAAATTAAACTCAGTTAACAAGGATCCTGGCAAGTACAATCACAACATCATGGGTGAAGGCAGCATTATCTGTAATAATCTTTCCTTTGCACATGGTAGTAATCTTTTTTATATGGAGTACAAACTAATGAGGCTGCTTGTTAACTTCCCTCTGGCCCATTAGCCTGTGAAAAATGCATGTTTGCTCAATCTGTTTTAAATTAGGCCATGGAATCCATTGCCCCTCTTGGGAGCTTTGCTGTTTGGAGAAGACTTTTTGTCTTTGGATGGTTATTCCTAGTCAGCACTTGCAGCAAGGTTGCCTATTCTGCTATTTAATTAAAGTAATTCCCTCTAAATTGTCCCACTTGAAGATGTAATGATTGTTAAGTGTTTTCAGTAACTAACTTGTAGCATTTCAGATATGTCAGGGTAGGGGAATGACAGGGGCAGTATCCAACCCAATTTGACAAATCAAACTCTTTGAAAGCATTTGACATGGAAAACTCAAAAATAAAATAAAAAATTCCAAGATCCTACCGACTAGTTTTAGGACAATACCACCAGCAAATTTTGCAATATTTGAGAGTATTAATAAACTTGAATACTAAGCTTTTGGGCTTTTTGTTGCAACTATTTCTTAGTAAATATTTTGAAGAAGTTGGAGTTTGTACAAAGCTGGGACCTGTGAACGTATATCATTGCCTAAGCAAATTGTGTTCTGCTTTCTGAATAGCTTGTGCACTTCTGGACAAACATGGTCCACAAGTGGCCCTACTCCTTATGACTCACACTCCCATGGTCTCTCTCAAGCACCTCCTCATGACTCACAAACATCACCCTGACCTTTATCACTAAGGTTAGCTTCAAAAGAGAGCAAGGTCTATGATTTCAGGCTTTGCTTTGTCCCCAGTGGATTATAAAGCACACAGCCATGTCAGCCCCAAGCCCTGCTGTCAGTCAAACCTCGAGGTTTCAACAGACCAAACCTCCTTTGCTGGCCAAGTGTTTGTTTATGCCCTTCATTCTTGTTTTTTCATGCATTTCCAATTTTTGCTTTCAGTAGTTTGATCTCTGCTTTTTAAATAACTCCCTCCTTCAGCTCACAGATCCATCTAGATGACTGGGGTAAAGGGGAAGAATGTAAACTCCTTCCTCTCTTACCAGAACAAGCACCAAATTACAGTGGGACAAATTTCTCTGGGACTTCATCTCCCACCTCCCTGCTCTGTATGGGACAAACCCAGCAGGTGTAAAAGCCAACAAGTCCCCTCCAGGGGACAGGCACTGCAAGGGGAACTGTGAGTCCCATGACACTGCACCGGCCACTCGAGATAGTGTGTTTTTGGGAGGCAGTGTCCTTTCAGGGCAGAAGCTGAGCTTTTCCTTCTGTTTTGGAGCAGAGCTCAGCAGATGAGCTTCGGGTGAATGACCAGTGCAACAAAAACAGAAGTTCTTTGGTTTGCTGGTGATGTAACACAGCAGAACCCTCTGTGGCTTTCAGAAGAAAAATGTTCTGTTGCCAACAGGTTTTACTAGAAACATGGAAAACATACCGAAAGTAAAATAAAGAAATAATCACACACTTGTTGCCCAGGTAAAAACACCTCAGTATTGGAGATAGGCTTCTTATTTTTCCACTGTTCTGCTACTTGTACCCAAAGTCCTTTTGCTGCCCTAACTAGAGGCAATGACAACATGGAGTACATGGGGGTGGTCCATCTGGGGCATCTGCTCTCCCTTTCTTAACTCCTTCTTCCTCTGTAGCTTCTCCCAGGCTTCATGTCTTCTGAGAAAGGTGTCCAGACCTCTGCCCAGAGCAGATCAGTGCTGGGAGGAATCACAAGATGGAAAAACCATGGTGTTGTATAGTCAATGAGTGAACCTGGAGCTGAGAGCCTTTAACAGCTGGGAAACTTGCACAAAACACCAAGCTAATAGAAAATTAATGAGGATGATATTTGCGGGGGAAAGGAGAGTGCCATGTCATGAGTTTTGGGCCTAGATCTGCTGAGGTAAGGATGGGGAAGCTGAGAAATTTTCAGTTCCCTTCCCACCCAGCACTGATCTTGCACCATATCCTACTGCCCTGTGTGTGTGCTGCAGCTCCCCATTTCCCTCAATTCCTTTGTTCTGCACTACCCCTGGAACTGCTGATGCAGCAGCTTTTGCAGCATGGGGTCTTCAGGGTTAGCAGCCATGGGTCCCACAGGAACTGACTGGATCCTGTCTGCCTCCCTGGAGTACAGCCTGACACCCAGCACAGCCCTCCCTGCATGGCTGTCACTGTGTTTGTGAAGCCTTCACAATATGGGCAGATTTTTAACTCTCATCTTGCCCACCTTGTGTCCTGCAGAAGAAGCATCATTGCAGTTCAGAGATGTAAAGGTAAAAGTGTGGCTCTACACAGCACCCAGGCCACAAACAGCAATGTGACCCTGCTGTTAGGTTGCTGACCTGAGAAGGGACGATCCATGGCAGCAGAGATGAGCCTTGTGAGTCAGGGCCAAGCAGGAGGGTGTGTGTGACACGAGCTCAGCTGCTTCCCCATGCTTTCCTTGCTGCACCCACAGATATAAAAAAGAGCCAGTAACTCTTACAAATTTGGTTTGCTAAAGCCAGGAGGCATTCCTCCTCCCTGCCAAGCCTGGAGGACAAAGGGATGCTGGCTGGAGGCACAGGTAGGGAGGACAAGCTGACAGCAGCACTGCAGTACAGGCAAGATGCAAACAACAATGATGAGGCAGATCAGGCTGCCGAGTGACAGCGTACTGTAGGGAATGCACTGCAGCTGAAGACAGGAACTGCATCCATGTTACATGACAGGTCAGCATTAGTAATCACAGGCTGACTTACTTCCCACAGAGTAATTTGGTGTCAGTCTGTTGTATTCAGACAGGTGCCTTACTCAGTCATTATCCAAATGCCTCAAATTTCTCTCTATTTTATCATGTCTCTGGCCCCCATACTGTAAAAATTAAATCCCAGCATTTCCTTCAACATCAGTTCTGGTTTTCAAGGAGAAAACCAGTGGGTGAGAGTTCAGAGGCTCATTCCCTCTCTCTCTGAGCACTGAGCTCCTGTCTGATAGCAAAAATGACATTCCTGGGACATCAACCTCTCCTCTGTGGTCCCTTTACCATGCTGTAACAAAGAAAGAAATACTCAAGGACAGCCAAGATGTACAACCAGTATTTGCTGAGCTGCAGAAGCCAGAGGATCTCCTTTTTCAGCACAATCCTGGTTCCTTGCAGCCTGGAATGTCTTAACAGGAATACACATTGGAGAGTACCCCTTGCTAGTGTTACTGACTGGCAGCATTTTACCAACTGCTCCTGGATTTACAGGCTAAAGAATTTCATGTTCTCACTCCTTCAGATCCTCTCTTCCTGCCTTGGTCCTTCAGGTTGCTCAGAAACAACTTGCTGTATAGAAGTGGGTAGACAGTTGGCTGGGGGTTTCTGCTCTCACAGGCAGGGCCTGGTCTGCCAAAGACCAAAAGGTTATGCAGCTCCTCTGGGTTAAAGCAAGCAGTGATAGCAGAACAGAGGGACAACAGGAGGAAAAGTTTCCTTCTGTTAAGTTCACTATTCAGTACCTGCAGCCCTGCATGGCTGCTTATGTGGAAAAGCTGGTACTTCACTGATTTCCTTCTGTTTCGTATTGTGATTCCATTGCAGTCACAAGGTTCTCATACTCAGGACTTTTCCTGTCTTTCACGGTAGTCTTTTCAGTGTTAGAGCTCATTTCCTCATGTAGGCACTTAACAGGGACTTCCACCTCAGCATGCAGCGGGGCGACATCTGCAGTGCTGCGGCTGGGACAAGAGAGACATGAGTGAGAGAGACAACTAAAGCAGATGGCACTTTACTTACATCTTAGAGACAAGATCTAGCACATAATCTGTGAAACAGCAAAATTCATATTATTCTAGTGAAGGCCTGGGTGGCTCTGGAAGACACTAGAAAGACACTTAAAAGAATTACAGAAAAAGAAGCACTGGTTACTACTGGTACTATAAACTCTCATGGCATTATCATGTTATACTCTAAAGTTATCAGCAGACACTCTAGCCTTTGAAAAGTAATTACCAGGAGTAACTGGGAAAAATTGCTACAGATGGCTACGGTGTGTCTCTGAGTAGGAAAGCAGTACAAAGGTGTTGAAGATTGAAATGAGGACAGGGCAGAAGATGTGTTTGTATGATCATACACTAATAGGAACTCTGCAAAGTAATACTTGGCCAAACACTCAGACATGTTTCTTCTAGAGAAAGGCAAGTGTAGAGGGAACTTAAAGGAAGAGCTAAGAATTTTTGTCCTTTGCTTTGCTAAATATTGGTGAGAATTTCCCACAGAGAACAAGTTTCCCATGGCACGTGACAGGCACCCAGAGCAAGCACCCATAATATCTTTCTGGTTTTCTGCCATATTAAAGATATTATCTACTGTTATCTGTCTATCTCCTGTGACCCTGTGTTAAGCCCTCATGTTGCTAACTAAACTGCCAAGTTTTTCAGATCCTCCCCCGTAAGGCAAATAAACCTTTGCTTTTCACTAAGCAAGGAGGCTTTTTTGGAGCAGATACCAGCACCCTGCCCTCAGTCTTAACGTCCCAAGTAGAAAATTGCACTCACAAAGCAACTTCATAGAGACGTTCTGNAATATTCCATGGGCTTTACGGTGCCACAATCCTGTTCTTTGACTGGAATACCCTTCCATTAGCACCTCACACTCCCTTTGCATCCTGGTGAGTTTTGAAGTGATGCTCAGAGAGCTGCAGATGCAGAGCTGTCCTGAGTGTGAGCAGCACAGCTGGGGGCCTATCAATCCTGTGTTGGTGTTACCAATTCGTTGCTTGGGTCCCTCTCCCTCTTTTACATGTCTGTGTTGCTCTTATAATGGGACACAGGGTTGCTCTGTTTGTTATAAAAAGGTTCTTTCTTCCATAACACTGCAGGATAGGTTTACCCAGGGCAGTAGAAATTATTCATGATTTACCCTTCAGACCTTTTAAGCTGGGAGGAAAGTACTTCTTGAGTATCTAGTGAGGGGCTGTGAGTGGCTTGCTGGCATTCCAAAATGAGCCAGTTGTTCAGAAATGCACACAGCAAAATATGTGAGGCATGTGTAAGCAATCCTACCCCAAACTTAAGGAAAATTATCTAACTTCTTTCAAATGTCCATTGAAATAAATTGGTCAGGAGACAGACTCCTGTTTTATGCCTTTATTAGGACTCAGCCTTGGGGTGGGGGCCCGAGGGGTCGCTCACAACACCACTGCTCCCACACCAGCAGCTCCAAGGAGGAGGCACAATTCAGCTTGCAGCACACCCTGCAGAGCTGGGGCTTCCATCCTCACAGGAGCAGCCAGCCTCATTGTCCAGGGGGTCACTCCTTTCCAGTCCTCTTTAGGCCATGGAGACCACTCTTAAGCAGGCTCAGGTGATGCAAGAAGATGGTTTTCCATCATAGCTTGCTGGGATATGTCTCTTTGACCTTTTATTTTCTTGCTGGCTTGTTGTTTTTATGTCTGGTGTGCCTTAGTTTGTGTATGACTCGGGGTGCACAGCCCCCTGGGAGCAGCACTGTTACACAGGAACAGGGAAGCGAGGGA